TCCCAAGCACAGAGCAGTGCAGATTCTCAGCAGCCGCTGGGCGACTGAGCTCCTGGAGGGAGGGGAGGCAGCCAACACCGCAGCTTCAGTCAGCCGTTTTCCCCCTCTGGTGCCAGGGAGATTGGGCAGTTTGGACCCAGGAGGAATTCCCTGCAGTGCAGCACAGCGACTATGGCAAATTGTGGCCAGACTGTCGCCTCTTTAGGCCGGACAGGAACCCATCCGTCCCTACCAGGTAGGGACTCACTGCTGGAATTTCAGCAACTCCAGCCAAGGGTTTAAGAACAGAACTCTGATCTTCTGGAACAGAACCCCTTGCGGGAGGAATGACCACAGTCTCCGCAGACCAGCTGACTCAGTCTTTTCCCCTGCCGGCTCTGAGGAATCCGGGCAGTCAGGAAGAGTGGGATTCCCCCCAGCACAGTGGACCCCCTCTGCCAAGGGACAGCCAGAGAACTTCCTTAAACGGATCCTGGATCCCATGCCTCCTGACCGGGTAAGACCCTCCCCTGCCGGTAGGGGTCGGCCAGACACTTTATAGAGGAGCGTTCCCACTGGTCCCGTAGGTGCCCCTCTGGGAGGGAGCTCCCAGAGGCAGGAGCAGGCAGCCGTCTCTGCTGTTCTGCAGCCTCCACTGACATCTCCAGGGACGGGAGGGACCCAGGTGAATAGGGTCTGGAGTGGTGGACCCCCAGCAAACCACAGCAGCACTAGGAAGAGGGTCCTGACTGTTAAAAGAAAAACAAACAGAAAGCAACAGCAACAGCAGAATCAACAAAAAGGTCCCCACAAAAACCCCAAAGGCCAGCAGCCTCAAAGATCAAAGCTAGACAAACTCACAAAGATGGGACAGTAACAACGAAAAAACGCTGAAAACTCAAAAAACCAGAGTGCTGCTTCTCCAAAGGATTGCAACCCTTCTCCAGCCAGAGCACAGAATTGGGCGGCTACGTTTGCACAGGTTCCTTTCCCTTTATCTGTATTGATAGATATAGATACTTCATAATTCTCAATCCTTCAAGACTCAGTTTAAGAGAAGTCAATTGCCTATTTTATAAGGCCTGTTCTAAGTCTCCCAGGAGGTGGAATGAGTAGCATCATTTCAGCTCTGTAGCATCCCAAAACATTCATCCACTTAACACTGACTACGTGTATTTCAGATGAGATGTGTACTTGCCTACATGCAAGCTAGATGGCAGGGACATGGTTTTATTTACCTTGTTATCCCTAGGACTTAGCACACTTACTATGTGCTTAAAAATTGTAGGAAATATAGACCGAGCACAGTGGCTCACGCCTGTAATTCCAGGACTTCGGGAGGCTGAGGCGGGCAGATCACGAGGTCAAGAGATCGAGACCATCCTGGCCAACACGGTGAAACCCCGTCTATACTGAAAATACAAAAAAAATTAGCCGGGCGTGGTGGCACACACCTTTAGTCCCAGCTACTCGGGAGGCTGAGGCGGAAGAATCGCTTGAACCCAGGAGGCGAAGGTTGCAGTAAGCCGAGATTGCGCCACTGCACTCCAGCCTGGTGACAGAGCAAGACTCCGTCTCAAAAAAAAAAAAAATGGTAGGAAATATAATGAATGTTGTGGAATCGTAAAATCTAGCCCAATCATATTATTCTGGCTGAATTCCTTCCACAGTTCCACAATCTACTGAGACCGTGGGAATGGTGTTTGAAGGTTATGTATCTCTGTGTCTGAGAAGACTCAGGAATTAAAAAGAAACTATATACACTTGAGGTTTAAGATATTTTTACACATTTTTATGTAAAAAGTAATTCATACTACTTATAGAAAATATAAAATCATAAAACACAACTCTAATCACATCACCTCACTTCAGCATCAATATATCCCTTCTGGTCATTTTAACAACTATTGTTAAGCCACTAAAAGATAGAAAAAGGGAATAATAGTTTCTTTAAAAGCAAAATATTTTAGTTAATGTGATATGTTAACAAGAAAACAGGAAAAGGTAATTGTGAATTGATACAGCACCTGAAACAGGTAAGAACAGTTCAAGTCAGCAAGAAAAGTATTGAGCAGTTGCTAAAGACAAGAAAAATACGATAGTAATAGGACTACCTTTGTAAATTCAGAATCCTCAATTTTCAAATAGTGATCAAGAGATAATTCCAGGCCTGGTACAGTGGCTCATGCCTGTAATCTCAGCACTTTGGGAGTCTGAGGCAGGAGGATCACGCCTAGGAGTTTGAGACCAGCCCAGGTAACATAGTGGGATACCGTCTTTTAGATACAGAGAGAGAGAGAATTCCATTCATTCATTCTTCCTTTCATCCATTATCAAAAGACTGTGACTTGGTACAGTATTATATACTGGTTAGCCCTTAATAGATTAAAAAGAACTGCAGAATACATTTCACCTATACCGAACAGGTTCACCAACACAAAACTTACAGTTGCCTACTGAGTAGACAAATTAAGCATGATCCCTGCCCTAGGTGACTTTATATGGTAATCTCTTGTCAACCTCTGGGATGTACATTCTTAAAAAATCTTATTTTTGTTAAACTCTAGATTGGCATAAATCAAAGTCTCATATAAAATAGGTTTCATATAAAATTATTTAAATAGCATTAAATATATTTTAATACATAAATGTCCCATAAAAGATCTGCTTCCAAAACAAATCATATTCATAGCATTAAACTCATTTGTTTTAGACAATCCTCATGAATTACCTTCTTCGATTGTTCAGGATACATTGCTGTGTTATCATTTTGCTGAGGCAAAATCAATTTCCTCACAATTTTAATGTCTTGTGGGTCTTTTAGTTCTTGATATTTTTTAACTAGACCTTACTAGCTTGAAATATATGTTGTTAACAGTTACATTCTTTCTGGTTTTGTTTCAACATGCTCCTCTAACACCTGCTTTGCCATAAATAATCAAAATGCTTGAGGGTACAGTTTTTCTGATCTTGTGTCCACAGATTGAGAACACACACACACACACACACACACACACACACATTCTCTCTCTCTCTCTCTCTCTCTGTCTCTGTGTCTCTCCTTTCCTCATAAACGCATACCTCTGATATCCAAGAGTGGGAGCTAAATTTAGATTCTGTAATGAGACTGAACCAAACAATTTTTTAAATTTTAATCAGGCTTGTTTATAGATACAAGACTCTATTGTCTCTGTAAAAGAAAAATTGCCCAAAACCTGGTACAGGATAAATCCTTATTTTGTAATATTATTCAAGACTTACCTCTGGGAAGAGATTAGACTTCCTGATAAAATCTATAACAATTTCTGGTGAGATTTAATGGGTTTAGGACTTGTTCTGAGAAACCAGTAATCTACCCTCAGTGGCTGTTAAGAAATATTACTTTCTTATTCCAACAAAGATGAGCTAACCACTGTCTTTTCCATAAAATGTCCTTAGTAAGATCAGTGCTTATATTGGGTCTATGTTTGGGTATAGGCTTCGGTCTTCCATGTCGTCATTAAAAGTTTATAATGAGAGAAGGAATCAGTCAGTTTCATTTTGTGAAGGCCATACCTCATCTGGAAAAGAGTGCTCTGTTTAAAACAAAAGGAAACCATTTGTTGGAAATGCATGTCTGAGTTTGCAAATCTTTAGTGAAATAAATTCTCCACAGAAAATGTTTACCAGAGTAGCTATAACAGAAAGTGTTTAACAAGGAATTTAATGTTTACTATTTGTTTTGAATTCTAAAAGGTGATGTTTTTACAACAATGGGAGGTACTTATGTGGAATACTGTCTAATTTTTACCATCTGAAGACTGTTCTTGAAAAGTATCTTATCATCGGGTCACTTCAGCGTGATAGCCTAATGATAGAATCAACTATCTGCAATATTAGCTGATAACTCATTCTTGTTTGCCTCATATCTCTGTTTAAAAACATTCACTGAATCCCATGAAGACATCTTCTTAAGGTAAAACAGAATGAAAATCACCTAATTAAATCAATGAGAAAACTGCAATTTTTGTCAAAAACCAATATCAGCCTAGCAGCCAAGTTTTTTCCATCAGGAAAAATGATTTTCACTCTATCTTGAATTTAGGACAAACTCCACAAAACTGGAGTTCCGTGAACTATTAATTTAACAGATAAGAACTAATTCCCAGATGTTTCATGCTATTTAAAGTGAAAGATTTATTTGCCTCTAAGCCACACTCAGAAAACTTCACATGGCAAAAGCTTCCTCAGCATAAATAAACTAAGAAAATTACATGAAACTCAATTTTCTTCCCTACTTGGAAACGTTTGACTTCTGGGATGAAGAAATTATTATAATTTCCCATAAAATTATAGATTCAACTATATGAGTGTAAGCACCAATAAATATATCTTAACGGAAATAACAAATGTTATTGCTGGCATCCTCTACTTCCACATTAGAAAACCAAAAGACTCCTCACTCTGTCATATATTTCATGAAACAAGCTATGTGGGCTCCATGGCCTGTATTTGGAATAAGCCATCAGAGTAATAAATGCAATCCAGGATGAGTTTTAAAATCACACTAGATATGCTTGAATTGCACAATTAAAAGAGATATTGGCTTTTTGATTTGATCGTTGAACTTCAGGCAAAGAGTTGTTTTATTCCCAAGGAATCCTGTAATATTAGAAAAGACCTTCATTTCACTGTTTATCCAGTCATCATTCAGGAGCAAGTTGTTCAGTTTCCATGTAGTTGTGCGGTTTTGAGTGAGTTTCTTAATCCTAAATTCTAATTTGATTGCACTGTGGTCTAAGAAATTGTTGTGATTTCCATTCTTTTGCATTTGTTGAGGAGTGATTTTCTTCCAATTATGTGGTCAATTTTAGAGTAGGTGCAATGTGGTGCTGAGAAGAATGTATATTCTGTGGATTTGAAGTGAAGAGTTCTGTAGATGTCTATTAGGTTTGCTTGGTCCAGATCTGCGTTCAAGTCCTGGATATCCTTGTTGATTTTCTGTCTCGTTGATCTGTCTAATATTGACAGTGGATTGTTAAAGTCTCCCACTATTATTGTGTGGGAGTCTAAGTCTCTTTGTAGGTCATTAAGAACTTGCTTTATGTATCTGGGTGCTCCTATATTGGGTGCATATATATTTAGGATAGTTAGCTCTTCTTGTTGCATTGACCCTTTTACCATTAGGTAATGCCCTTCTTTGTCTCTTTTGATCTTTTTTGGCTTAAAGTCTGTTTTATCAGAGACTAGGATTGCAACTACTACTATTTTTTTTTCTCTTTCCGTTTGCTTGGTAAATCTTCTTCCATCCCTTTATTTTGAGTCTGTTTGTCTTTGCACGTGAGATGAGTCTCCCAGGTACAGCACACTGTTGGGTCTTGACTTCTTATCCAGTTTGCCAGTCTGTGTCTTTTGATTGGGGCATTTAGGCCTTTTACATTTAACATTAATATTGTTATGAGTGAATCTGATCCTGCCATTTTGTTACTGGCTGGTTGTTTTGCCAATTAGTTGATGCTGTTTCTTCATTGCATCGTTGGGGTCTTTACCATTTGGATCCAATTAAACTTAAGAGCTTCTGCACAACAAAAAAAAGCAATCATTAGAGTGAACCATTAACCAACAGAATGGGAAAAAATTTTTGCAATCTACCCATCTGACAAAGGGCTAATACCCAGAATCTACAAAGAACTAAAGTAGATTTACAAGAAAAAAAAAAAAAACCCATTCAAAAGTGGGCAAAGAATATGAACAGACACTTTTCAAAAGAAGGCATTTATGAGGCCAACAAACATATGAAAACATGCTTATCAGCACTGGTCATTAGATAAATGCAAATCAAAACAACATTGAGATACCATCTCATGCCAGTTAGAATGGCGATCATTAAAAAATCTGGAGACAACAGGTGCTGGAGAGGATGTGTACTTTTATACTGTTGGTGGGAGTGTAAATTAGTTCAACCATTGTGGAAGACAGTGTGATGATTGATTCCTCAAGGACCTAAAAATAGAGATTCCACTTGACCCAGCAATCCCATTACTGGGTATATACCCAAAGGACTATAAATATTTCCATTATAAAGACACATGCACATGTATGTGTATTGCAGCACTGTTTACAATAGCAAAGCCTTGGAACCAACCCAAATGCCCATCAGTGATAGACTGGTTAAAGAAAATGTGGCACATATACACCATGGAATATTGTAGAGCCATAAAAAACAATGAGTTCATGTCCTTTGTAGGGACATGGATGAATCTGGAAACCATCATTCTCAGCAAACTGACACAAGAACAGAAAAACAAGCACCGCCTGTTCTCACTCATACACAGGTGTTGAACAATGAGAACACATGGACACAGAGAGAGGAACATCACACACAGGAGTATGTTGGGAGGTGGAGGGGGCAATGGGAGGTATAGTGAGGGGCAGGGAGGTTGGGGAGGGATGACACTAGGAGAAATGGCTGATGTAGGTGACAGGGGGATGGAGACAGCAAACTACTGTGGCATGTGTGTACCTATGCAATAATCCTGCAAGACCTGCACATATATCCTAGAACTTAAAGTACAATAAAAAAGAAGATATTACAAAGAAAGAAAGAGAGAGAGAGAGAGAGAGAAAGAAAGAGAGAGAGAGAGAAAGAAAGAAAGAGGAAGGAAGGAAGGAAGGAAGGAAGGAAGGAAGGAAGGAAGGAAGG